ACCTCGATACCTGACTGAGTAATCACATGACCCAGAAAGGATACTCGCTGGAGCCTGAACTCACATTTGGAGAATTTTGCAAACAACTTTTCTCGTCTGAGGGTTTCAAGAACCACCCTCAGATGCTCCTCGTGCTCCTTCTGGCTCTTCGAGTAGACAAGAATATCATCAATAAAGACAATAACAAACTGATCGAGGTAGGAATGGAAGATACGGTTCATGAGATCCATGAAAACTAGTGGCGCATTGCTGAGACCGAATGGCATGACTACGAACTCGTAATGGCCGTAACGAGTCCTGAAAGCGGTCTTAGCGATATCTGACTCCTTAATCTTCAGCTAGTGATAGCCCGATCGAAGATCAATCTTCGAGAACACACAGGCTCCCCTCAACTGATCAAATAAGTCATCGATCCTGGGAAGCGGATACTTGTTCTTGATCGTCAACCGGTTGAGATCCCGGTAGTCGATACACATGCGCATGGATCCGTCCTTCTTCTTAACAAAGAGAACGGGTGCTCCCCAAGGTGACACGCTCGGTCGGATGAAACCGAGTCGTAATAGCTCCTGAATCTGCGCCTTAAGCTCCTGCAACTCCTTAGGAGCCATACGGTACGGGGCTTTGGATACTGGACCGGCCCCTGGGATGAGATCGATAGAAAACTCCACCTGACGATCGGGCGGTCCTCCTGGAAGCTCGTCTGGGAATACGTCTACAAACTCTCGAACGACTGGAACATCGTGAGGTGAACGCGCTCTCTGAGAATCATGAACAAGGCTCACCAGATAACCCTGGCAGTTGCCTCGTCTCAGCAACTTAGTGGCTTTCGCCATCGAAACAACATGAGGCAAAGAACGGTTTCTGGAGCTGAAGAAAGTAATCGACTCATCTCTCGGAAGATAAAGAGTAATCTCCCGATCGCGACACTTGATATCTGCGATAAAAGGATAGCCAATCCATTCCGAGAATCAGGTCGAAGTCCTTCATCTCGAGAACAAACGCGTCGGTAGGCAAAACTCGGCCACCGATGGAAAGGCTAAGATCTGAAGCTTTTGCTGAAGTCACTATCTTTCGTCCCGAGGCCAAACTCACCTCAAGAGGATCGATAGCAGAAGTAGCGCGAACTCCGATGGCATCAAGACATCGTCGTGAAATGAAGGTATGAGTAGCTCCGGTATCAAACAAAGCAAATACAGGAACAATATTAAGAAATACCATTCCGGCCATGGTACCTGGCTGCTGCTCGGCCTCTGCCTGATCGATAGCATAAACCCTGGCCTGCTGTCTGCCCCTCTGCTGCTGCTGCTGGGGCTGCCTCTG